CTTCCCAGGACTTAAGGAATGTTTCGGTCCTTTTTGTTGGATTCACAGTATTTTGTTGGATGTTTGGATTCATAGTATTTGTCTCAAGGCCATCTCCCTGGCTCTCTACAGAAAGGCTGCATTGAAAGATGAGCGTGGTTTTAAAACTGGAGAAAGAAACATTAATAACTTATATTAAACTGATGACACTACTCTGATATCTGAAAATGCAAGCTTGTAGAGGAATGAGGTATGCAGGAACAAGCAAAGGAAAATAAAACTCAGTCCTAGGAAAGGAAAAGGCATTGGGCAGAAGCTCAAATAAGCTGCCTTGATTCTCTTTTGTATGATGGAGCAGAAGGAAACTCTGGCAGCCTTTCAAGATTCTGTTTTTATACCCTACCGCAATCAAGTATGATACCTGTAGCCCCTGCATTGTCTATTTCCTGACCTTTCTACCTCGAAGGGCTGTCCTCAAGGAGCACAATAAAAAATGGGAATGAAATTAAATATAAAGAAGACCAAATGACAGATAATAGGTACAGCAATCAGCCCTGGAATTGACAATGAAGATAATGAAGTGGTGGATAGCTTCTGCCTTTCAGGATTGATTGTCCACAGTAAAGGAAACAGCAGTCAAGAAATACATTGTGGACTAGTACTTGGTAGAGCAGCAATGAAGGCTTTGGAAAAGATATTAATATGCTTGACATATCTATTCCTACAAACATTAAAATCATACAGGCAATGTTTTTCCCCCATGATATTCTATGGAAATGAAAGTTGAACTCTGAAAGAGTATTGACACTTTGGCCTTTGGTGTTAAAGAAGAGCCTTGAGAATACCACGGAGAGCCAAAAAAAAAAAAGATCACTGAATCAATCAATCAATCCAGAGTTCTCATTTGAGGTACAAATGATCATGTTTCTGATCATGTTTTTCATTACGGGGACATATTTAGTTTTCCAGAAGAGTAAATCAAATGCTTTGGACACATGAGAAGACGTAGCTCTCTTGAGAAGTCTACAATGCTGGGAAAGGCAAAGGGAAAGGAAACAGGATGACCAGCACGTATGGCACCTCACCTACGGCTAACAAGATAGAACAAGGCAATCTTCATTTGTGCCTTGAACAGAAAACCTCCCAAAACTGTAATAGACGCCTTTAGTGCTCTTTAAGACAATCGTATTTATGCAAAATAAGTCTACATTAAAGACAATCGTATTTATGCAAAATAAGTCTACATTAGAATAAGGTACCATGTGCCTTATTCTAAAATGTGTTTAGCAGCTTGTGCAATCTATATGGATCTGCAGTTCACAATAAGTATAATGTCAATGTTTGTTATCTTAGTGGTTATTCAAATTTAGAATGTTATGGGTTCATTCAAAATAACTTGGTAATCTTAATGTATCATTACTAAAAAAGGAAGCTTTCTTTTAACATGTACCCAGAGATTAACACACACTACGTCACAACTGAGACCACAAAAACAGAAACAGGCACTAAATAATTCCTTTTCAACAAACTATTTGTAATGTTGACAGAGTGATGGTAGAGTAAATAATATGGAAGGAGTAAATAATGCACACAGCAAACATATAGTGCAAATGCTACAAGCACTAAAATCTAATACATTACTGGCCACAGCTGACATACCTGAGGACCCAATCCATCATTAGTATCTTCTGAATGAACCAGAGTTGCCAACAGCCTGTAGCTTTCACTTGCTAAGAGATCTGAGTCATGGTTGTTCAGAACATAGGACAGCTGTCCTATATGCCAGAACAATCCTTCCTTTCCCTACCAAGCTGCTTCAATACCTAGCCATGCCTTCTTTTAATGGAGCATTTACTTTAATGAAGGTTATCTTACACCACATACTGAAGCATTGAAAGAGGCTTCTTCCCCAACCTCATGTATGTGGTACCATACCATGCTGAACATAGGTGGTTTTCTGGGAACAAAGGATATACCGAATCTTTAATCATGAATTTGGGAGAGTCTCTCACAAAATGAATGTTCTGCTGTAGCAAGCAGAGAAATTGACTGGATATCACAATACCACAGTGGCAGAGAGAAGGGCAATGCTTGCTTTCAAGAGATGGCCTGCATGGATAAGCAAGCTTTCTAACCATACAGCCGTTATCATATAATGAAACATTAACTGAATGCTAGCAAGACAGAGGGGAGAGATTCCTGGAATGAGACTGGGGAGAGCTGAGCTCACATGGTATTAGGAGTTCGCTTATCTATAATTGGGCGACTCTGGGCTTAAGTCTAATTTCTTAGCCTTGTATTTTAAGGCTAAGATGGATGAGCCCAAATAGCTGAACATCTCAGGGAGAGAAAAATTCCAATATGATAAAAGAAATAATATAGGAGGCTTACAAGGCAGGAAATATTCTAGCAGGTTTTGCCCTGAAATAAAATTATAATCTAGCAGGAACAATTGCTGATGACATATTTGGGGTAGGCACTGGAGATAAAGGAGCATTTCCTATTCCTAGAATAATAGGAATTCTGCAGCACGGAATAAAATGGTTAATTGAACACTGTGCTCTGTAGTCACTAAAAAAGTTACAGGATGACAGCTGCTGTACATGTAAAGGCAACAAATGTTATGTGACCAGAGATGACTGGCATGACATGTGCATCTTATGCAATCATGTTCCCAACTGTCTTAAAAAATGTTCTATGGAAAGGTCTTTTTAAAATTAGGACTGTACCAAAACTAATACACAAACTAGCCCATAAAACATTGTAGCAGTACAGAAAGAATGCTATTTACTGAAGAAACAATATACAGAACAGTTATATTCCAAAATAGCAAGGCATAGTGAGGTTCTGCATTTTCAGCAACTCACTGATTTGTATAATCCTCCAGAGATAACCTCTAGAGAATGTCCTTCTCTTCTTTAAGTGATGTTTTTGAAGTGGCTTTCCTTGCTTTAGAATTCTCTTCCCTTGGAGGCAATGAGAGTAGCATAATTAAGAGCCAATTACATTTATCTTGACATAATGTCTTTGACAAGCTGGTCTAGTAGGAGTAACTAGGCTGTTACTCAGATTTGTCACTTGTATTTTTCTGAATGGCTGGAGAGAAGAATTAAGCAAATGAATTAAGTGCCAAAGGCTAAACTACTACTGAAGTTTGAATCTAGCTTTTGCTGTGTATACACTAAGGAGTATTACTCTGTTTTTAGCTCAGAATAAAACAGTTCTGCTCCAAACATTCTGCCAGAACATTCTAAAGTGGCTGTGTCCCAACAGAATAAAATTTGAATGGCTCAAGGATTCTGTGTTCTGACAGGAGAAAATGGGAAATGTTTTGAATACATCAGGCATAGAAAACATTGGGAGCTTGAGACAAATCTCTTGCTTACTTTTTTTCCCAACCCCATGGCCAAGTGAATGTTTAAAAAAACAATGCTTCTGTTGTTTCCAATTGGGATTTTAAACTGTTTTTGACTTTTTCTTTTTTAAAATATCCCCATTTATTTTTGTAGATTATTCGCCAGGTAGCAGTCTGTATGGACTACCACCCTATCACATTCAAGCAACAAGTTGTTTTGCAATCTGACTGCCTTATAGGAACAAGCTGAAAAAAAAGGTTCTTTGCTAGATTTGTATGCCTACTTATGTTTTTGCAAAAACAAGAATCCTGCTTCTTAACTCTTGTATCAGTAACAAGATTAATATTACAAAAACTAAATAATAGCAACATACTGTTGTAGCAGCAGTAAATGCATTTATTATATGTGCATAACTAGGCAAAGTATAGGTATAACATAAACATAGCAATTAAAACAGCATACTACAAATAAATAAATAAATAAAACGACAGAGCCTGTAGACTAAAAAATAAGTACTGTGTATTTAAATGCATATTATGTTCATTTGTAGAGGTTGGGGCAATAGACTAAACTTTCTATTGCCCCAACCTCTACAAATGAGCAAAACATGCATTTAAATGCACAGTACTTGTCTTTGCATTTGCAATTTAAAACATCAGCAGCATGTTTTAGGGGCTACTTCCATCCTAGCGAAAGGCCTGGGAGAAAAGCCAGGTTTTCAAGACCCTCTGAAACACCAGTAGGGTGGGAGGCACCTGGATCTCAGGGGGAATCTCATTCCAGAGGGCAGGTGCTGCTACAGAGAAGGTGAGCTTCTGGGGTCTCAACAGAGGGCATTATTTAATCACTCCATCTGGTCTAAAGCATGGACATGACTAACTCCCTGTTGTTATATTAGTTAGCATATATTTAAAATAAACATAATAATAATTTTGCACCAGCTGCAGCTTCAGGAGCAAACACAAAGGTAGTCCCTCACAGGCAGTATTACACTTCTGTATATTTACCAGTACATGAACCACTCTAGTTAGGTTGTCCCCATCCAGAAAAAGCATAGTAATCCAGCTGAAGCTGGTAATACTGTAGGGACTACTCATGGAGGTCACTGAGGAAGTACAATCTCATTTAGAATAGGTAACTCCACATATGAGCTCTGCTTCTCAGGATTCAGTCTCAGTTTATGGCCCTTGTCCACCATATCACTGTACAGTATTCAGACACTGATCTAAGACATGCCTATTTTGATTTAAATGATATGGAAAAGTACTGCTGAATGTATCTACACACTGGCGACACTTAACTCTAAAGTCCCTGAGGACCTTCCCCAATGATTTTATACAGATGTAAATAACACAGGGGATAAAACAGAGCCTTGCAGCATCCCACAATATACTTGCCAGGGTTCAAAAGCATGCCCACCAAATCGTAATCTCAGAGATTCTACCTATAAGTAGGAGCAGATCCATAATCTGCTCCTACTTTTGCATAATCCTCTCTCATACATAAAGTAATATAGACTTACTTTATAGAGTTGCCAAAACAATTTTATGTAAATATATATGAACTCTCAAAATGTTAAATATTATTATGTGAAACAGAGATTGAAAGAATGAACTATTAAAAAATATATACAAGAAATAACATGTTGCATTCTTTGAAATTTACCTGTCATGAGTCCTCATGAAATCCCAAAGTTTTGAAATGCCATTCTGAAAAAAAAACACCATAATGAATAATTAATGTTATATTAATGTTCAATCTGCCCCCATGCGAATCGACTAGCTAATGTTACTTTCAGCACATGTTTTTAGTTATAAATGCCAGAGTTATTTTGGAAGCCTCTCTGGATTTCCTACATCTGATGGAAAAGTTACATATACACTCAGTAGCTGATGTAAAAAAAGCTAAATTTCATGGGCACATCTATACAATTTTATTGGCAGTAATATAGAAGTGGTTTGCCATTGTCTTCTGGAATATTTTTTTCAATTTCCCAATCTAGAATACAGTCCTGAGATTTCCAGATGGCCTCCCATCCCTATACTATACCCAACCTTCCTCTAGTTAAGCCATGGCCAGCTATCTACTGCCACTGAGCTAAGCCTATATATAGTAGCATTTGCTGTTATAACAGCTGAGTGCTTAAAGCCTTTCCAAGAAGATCTGCACAGGACTTACACTTTGACATACAACTGACTCTGGCCTTCTAATAACCAAGTAATTCACATTGGCTAAGATAGTTTATAACTCTTTCCATGGCAGCGGACAGACTGGATCTCTGGTAGTTCATCTTAACACTGTTGTTTGGCTTGAATTGTTAGTTTTTTCCTTAAAATCAAGAAAACAATTACACAGGTGGACCCCAAGACAGTAATATATTGGTAAGGAATAGCTTAAAGGTGGAAACCAACCCTTTCCAACCAAATCCCTGGAAACAAGCAGACAGCTAGTGTAAGGCTTAAATAAAGATATGAAATAGTTCTTCCAGAGACAAATCTGGTCTCAAAATTCAGTACCAACTTAAGTTTCTGGACTAGATGGAAAAACAGCCCTTTATACAGTGCATTACAGTAGTTAAGCCTAGAAATTATCAGCATGTGCACACTATTTTAAGGTTATTTTCTTCCAAGATGGAACCCCTAAACTGACATTGTAAAAGACACTCCTAGCTATTGCCTTAATCTGGGTACCAGAGAGAAATTGAAATCCAGAAGCACTTCTATACCAAATACTTGCTCCTTCAATGGAATGTAATCCTACCCAGAACAAGTTATGTCCCTTCCTTGAAACTGTGACATATAAACACCTCTTCTCATGATTTAAACATATTATCTCTTATCCAAATTATTACCAACTGCGGACAGGCATTCAAGAGCACCAATCCTGCAGTTAATATTACAGAAAAACTAATTTGGATATCATCAACATTCCTCTAACATTCTTCTAACCATTTATATGAGCACCCATCTTGCAAACAGTGACTCTGGTGAGTAACAAGTTAAATAAATAAATAAGGACAACTAATCACAATAATATACTTATAGTAACAGCTGAGATAAGCAATAGTCACAACCACAACAATCATCCCATACCCCCTTTCTATTATTTTTATTTTATTTTATAACAAGATTATAAAAGATAAACAATGAAAATACAGAGAACTATAATAAACAGCAGCAAAATCTAAACAAAACTAAAGGGGAAAAAAACCAAAAGAAATATATCACAGGCCCCCTTAAGCTCCTGACTTCCATACCAGGAGAAACAGCCATGTTTTTAAGGCTTTCAAGGATATTAGCAGAATTGGGGCCAGCCACATCTCGGGTGGGTGGGTGGAGGTAATGGTGTTCCAGAGGGCAGGCACTACAACAGAAAAGGCCTACTTCCTGAATTCCAGTGGATGACATTCCCTAAAAGATAGGACCCAGAGCATGCCTCTTCTGTTGGACCTGGTGGGGTGGGTAGAAACAATTGGAGAGAGGTGGTCCCACAAATAACCTGGCCCCATGCCATGAAGGGCTTTATATGTGACAACCCACAACTTGAATTGCACCAAAAAGCACACTGGTAGCCAGTACAGCCCACAGAGCAGAGGTATAATATGAGCATACTGAAATGCATTTATGACTGCCTGCTCTACCACATTCTGAACCAGCTGAAGCTTCCAGATGCTCTTCAAGGGCAGTCCTATTTATGGCATGTTGCAGTAATCTAATCAGAAGGTAACCAAGGCATGAATGACTGTTAGCAGTGCCTCACCATCCAGGGAAGTAAGTACTTTTGCACACAAGTTGTAACTGTGCAAAAGCCCTCCTGGCTATGGGTGTCACCTGTTCCTCAAAAAGGAGCTGTGAGTCTGGGAGAACTCCCAAATTGTGCACTAATTCTGCTTGGCACAGTGCCATCCCAAACTAAATATGACAAATCACCAGAATCTGGAGGCCCTAAATTCCAGACCCACTTGTGCTAGTGTTGAGTTGAAATCTATTCCTCCCCATCCAGACCCCTAGTGCCTGAAGACACCAAGAAATGACCTCAACAGCATCACTTGGTTTGGGCAGCATATTGAGCATACTTCACCCCTTACTGACAGATGACCTCAACCAGAGGCTTCATGTAAATGTGAAACAGGAGTAGGGAGAGCACTGAGCACTGAGAAACTCCATAGAAAAGGAAGCCTTGGGCTAGAACTCCGCCCCCCCCCCTCAACACCAACTGGAACTGACCCTGGAAGAAGGAGAATCACTGTATTACTCTGCCTCCCCCACTCCCAACTTCTTGTGCTGGTTCAGAAGGATACCATGATCAACCATATTGAAAGCCACCAACAGGTCAAGAAGAACAAGGATGGATGCACAACACCCATCCCATTCCTGCCACAGATTATCCACAAGCATGATCAATGCTATCTCAACCTCATGAAGGGGGTACAGATGATCTCCAAGTTAGAAAGTGACCTATAACTACCCATCTTTCAGGGAAGTTTTATAATTAGCACACAGTTGTGAAGAATAAAAGTACTTCCTTTTTAAAAAACCTATTAATCAGTGTAATGTCCAATTATAGCTTTCCTTATTTTACTTTATTCTGTTGTGTATTGGAATGAAAAATATTCTTTTTGTCTTTGCTACTATTGTCCTAGTACAATGCAATTCAGAGTATGTAGCTAGATTTCTATTGTGCCAAATACCTGACTTCTTGCTGACAGTCCAGTATGAAGGCTGCTAATTATTAATAGCAAGCAAACAGTTACCAATGGTTATATGGCTCTGTGTACTTTACAGCACATTAAATCTAACGTGCTTATGGTGATTTTATCAGGTAATACATAAAATGTCAATGATTTATCTTCTATTCAACAAACTCATGTGTTTATAAAATAATGAAGACATAAGCAAATGGGGAATCAACTTGGCCTTTCAAAGCTTCTTTTAGTCACCAAGCACTGCCCCAAATCAGTAACCATCAAAATGTTTACCATGCAGACATACACTCCTGTTGCTATTCTCATTGAGGAATGTTTTTCTAGTATCTCATTTATATAGAAGTTAGTAGTTAAAGCAAATACTATTAACCCTGTAGTGCTATCTCTACACAAAAATGCCCCCTGTTAGAAACTGCTTGAATGTTGGCATTTGTCAAGTAAAAGAGAGAGAGAGAGTTCTCACAGAGAAATCCATTTATGTGCTTGTATTTAAATGTTCAGTCACTAAACAGATCCATGCATTCCTGACAGGGACATGGAAGTGCGTGTTCTCAGTACTCACTCCCACATTCTGGCACTCCCTCCCTGTAGAAATTCAATCAACTTTTCCCTCTAGTCTTTAGGAATATTTTGAAGGGTCTTGCTCAGGAGGGTGTTCTGTGATTTGAGGGGGGGACTGTCAGTGCATGGCATTTGTATATGTTGGTGAAAAAGCAATTTTTTTTTTTTTACATTTATAGGTATTTTGGTTTTCTGAAGTACCTTTACATGTTTATATTGCTAGCCACCTATACTCTGTGGGAATAGGCAGGATACAAGCAGAATAAATAAACAGGCTAGCTGTGTTGCATGTTAATTGCCTGTTAGCTAACCAAAACAACAACATAAATAAGTATCTTTCCAACAGTGAACTACCTCCATGGGTCTGTTTGAATAAGTATGAGATCACCCACATTTAAAAGCTGAACGTATCTAGACTGGTGGTGGTGGTTCTTATGGAGCATGTTCTACAAGCGAACCACCATAAATGAGGAGTCCTTGCTCCCACTGTAAGGAAGGAAGGAAGGACTAGCCATTGGATTATTAAGAACATGAAGTTTATATGAGAGAAAATGCCCCTTTATGCCATTCAGGCTTTACACTTAAAACAAAAATTGCTGGGTTCATACAAGGCACTAAATATTTAATATGAATTAACAAAACCATTTATAGCATAGCATAACATAGCATACTATGGCCAAATTCATCTTATTATAGATTGCAGCTTGTGTAATTATCTTAAACTAAGATAGTAACTGGGTTCCTACAACATAATGAATCCCAACCTACTCAATCCCTTTCTAGCCTTAGTGTATAAATCCAGTATCAAGCCTTTCTATAACATATGCTGTCTGCAGAAATATCACCATTTTTTTCAGGCACATGCCCTATAATGAAAACTAAATTCAGGAGATTTCAGATTCATCTCCCCATACTATATTTATCCAAAAGGAAGATACTCCTGAATCTAAGATGACTACTCTCTCAAAAGAACAATAGACTGAAAATATCAAACATACATACACATCTATCATGCCATTCCCTTTTGTGATAAGGAACATTCTGCCAAGCACAGAAAAGGAGTAAGATATTGTAAGCCAAGGAAATTAAGATATGAGATAAAGAAAAGGAAATATAGTTAAATCTAGGTTATATCAACATCCTTGCTTTTACCACATCTATGTGGTGCTTCATATACTGCCTTTTGTTGTTTATATTTCTCATCCTTTTCTTTGAGGATCTCACTAGCTCTACCCAATCACAACTTCCTTGGTCTTCTCTTTCCTCATGACTCATTCACTCTCCTTATATTTGTTTTGGAATTCACTCTTGATCCTATTTCCTGTTTTATCACATACATTTTTAAGTACCACATTTCTACTGCATTAAACTTTGATATTTCTACTGACATACCAACTCTTATCTCCATATAACGAAGTGACAGAAGCATGCTTTTACTCACAG